AAACAAAAAACAGGTTGCTCAGGTTCTGCTCACTCTGCCATACTCTTTCTCTCAACTGGGCATGCTTTCAGGCATCATATTCCAAATTTTTTATGGTATTTTGGGAAGCTGGACTGCTTATCTGATCAGTATTCTCTACGTTGAGTACCGAAGTCGAAAAGAAAAAGAAAATGTCAGCTTCAAGAACCATGTCATCCAGGTAAAGTAAACTAATTAGCTTCCAACATTTTTCACAATGCAAAACCATTTCCACTTGAGAAAGTTAAAAATGTAACCTCTTTCTTTAAAAAAATTTGAGCAGTGGTTTGAAGTGTTAGATGGTTTACTGGGTCCATACTGGAAAGCCGTTGGATTGGCCTTCAACTGCACTTTCCTTCTCTTTGGATCTGTTATCCAACTCATAGGTTGTGCAAGGTCTGTCGTTTAAATACAACTTCTCTTTTCTATTTTATCTCAATCATGGGTTTTGTTCTGTTTAATGCATAATTAATTACTGATTTGGGTTTTTTAATGGGTGATTATTCAGCAACATATATTATATAAATGACAATCTGGACAAGAGGACATGGACGTACATATTCGGAGCTTGCTGTGCCACCACTGTGTTCATACCCTCTTTCCACAACTACAGAATCTGGTCTTTTCTTGGGCTTGGCATGACCACCTACACTGCTTGGTATATGACCATTGCAGCCATAGTTCATGGCCAGGTAATTAGTTTCATCAACGGTCCTGATTGTTCCAGAGTCATATCCCTGTTCTTTATCCTCTGTTGATTTCGACTCTGTTTCTTCTTCATAATATTTAAAACATGCTTTACAGGTTGAGGGTGTAATACACTCGGGACCAAAGAAAATGGTCTTGTATTTCACTGGCGCCACCAACATACTCTACACTTTCGGCGGCCACGCCGTCACTGTGTGAGTATTTAGTTTCATTCTATTTTTATTGTTTAATTTGAAATAATATAATCATGATGTTCCCTCTTTTTTTCATTTTTTTTTTCCAGAATGGTTTTCTTTTTTACACAGTGGCCGTATTCATTATGCAGCTTTTGCTTGCCATTAATGGGTTGGTGAGAGAAGAGAATATCATGACAAGAAAATGAAAATGACAGAATAAAACTCGAATAAGATGGTGATTGTGCACCTTGTGGTGTATATTAAAAAATATATTCTCATTTACGTTATAGATAATCTTGACTTTGTGTCACTGACAAATCTATTTAGTACACCTTACCATTGAATTAAGAAAAATAATCTTTCTGCTATATATTCTTAATCATAAAGTCTAATTTCTTTATTATAAAGCTTTTAGGTAGATAGGGAAAAACAAAAAACAAAAAACAGAACTCTCTGTTCTAAAAGCACTTTAGTGCAATTGTGGTGGGCAAGCTCTGTATCCAGATTAGATTTTTACTGCAGGATCATGTTATTGTTTGCAGGGAAATTATGCATGCAATGTGGAAGCCTCAGAAGTTTAAGTATGTCTATCTCTTTGCTACCCTCTATGTATTCACTCTCACCCTTCCATCTGCAACTGCTGTGTACTGGGCCTTTGGGGACCAACTCCTCACTCACTCAAACGCCTTCGCCCTCCTTCCCCGGAATAAATGGCGCGATGCCGGGGTCACCTTGATGCTCATTCACCAGGTGATGATCCTTCTCAAGACTCTAATTGTTTGTACATGTTGTTTCCTAGCCATTTTGCCACTTCGCTAATAGAACATGTAGAAAGTTGTTATTGCCTAAGCTTATAATGGTTTGCTGCTTTCAATTCATAGGCATAATTGTCAAGCAGGGGATTGATTGAGAACATTTTGAAGGTGCTGATGTAATTTTTTCTCATGTGGTTGGCATGTTACAGTTTATCACATTTGGGTTTGCTTGTACGCCTTTGTATTTTGTGTGGGAGAAAGTCATAGGAATGCATGACACCAAGAGCATATGCTTGAGGGCTCTTGCCAGGTTGCCTGTGGTGATACCAATTTGGTTCTTGGCCATCATATTCCCCTTCTTTGGTCCCATTAACTCAGCTGTTGGGTCTCTTTTGGTCAGCTTCACTGTCTACATCATCCCCGCCTTAGCCCATATGCTCACTTTCAGATCTGCAACTGCTCGTCAGGTAATGCTCCAATCTAGCCTCATTAGAGAACAGGGGCACTCTGAGTCTTGTTTCATGGGATGGAATATACAGTTTTACTTCTATGGTAATCCTTGGAAGTTGAAAGTGACTTCCAATGCAACAGGCTGGTTTTTTCCCCCACAAGTTTTATTAATGGTTGGGATTTAAATGTTTGTGTGACCTGGATAAGGTTGGTGAAATTTCCTTTTCTTGCAGTGTGTGGTGCCTTTCACACTTATTCTGATCTTGTAATAAATTAGGCCATACTCACCTCTTTGATTAAGTTAGCCCTACGTACCCACATTATTGGTCATAGTCTTTAGTCCTAACTAGCTCACAATGAGGCATGTGATCTGATCCAACACATTATGTCTGCAACTCATTTAATCATACAGCTTTGCAGAAAATTACATTACTAAACTGCAATCGGGTAATTTTAATGTGTGCAGAATGCGGCAGAGAAGCTTCCATTCTTCCTCCCGAGCTGGACGGGGATGTATGTGGTGAACGCATTTATAGTGGTGTGGGTGTTCATAGTCGGCTTCGGATTTGGAGGGTGGGCTAGCATGACCAACTTCATCAAGCAAGTTGACACTTTTGGGTTGTTCGCCAAGTGCTACCAGTGCCCTCCCAAAGTCTCAGCCTCCCCACCAGTACATCACTAAGTTCTCTTTTGTATCACTCTCAGGGAGGCATCAGCATCTCTCCCCCACAAATGGTTGTGCTGTATCAGCCTTGTCATTCTGTGTAGCCTCTATAAATATCAGTACATTATTGTGAATGGTGAATTGGAGTTGGAGATGTTTTCTTTTCTGTTTCCTTGTTTGTTTTTATATGTGTTTCTATCTAATCAACTATGCTAGTGCAATCAATTATCAAAGGCCATTGCTGATTTTAATATAAACATGGTGCCTACAAATTTTCAAAAGACTACCCTTGAACTTGATTATAAGAGAGAACCCAATCCGGGCATCTGATGATGTGACTCACATGGCTACCACATTCACTTCTGTTTATCATCAAACACCTTTCCATGCGAGCCCACATGAACCCAAAACGTATTATATATTGTGATGATGAAGAATCTGAAATTAATCTCCTTTCACTACCTCTATTTTTTTTTTCTTTTTTTCCTCGATCACGCGAACCCAATTCACGCTTGTCATTTTGCCGCCTAATTTTGTTGCGTATGATATAGGTTTGACTGGTCAAACTTCAATGGTGGGGGCTACTTTGATGATGTGGAATGGGAGTGCAACTCAGCATTGACATGGACATGTTTGAGGGTCAACTCAAAATCTGTTACGCATGTCCAAAGTCTTCAGTAGGACTGTCTCATACAGCGTTTCATCACTCACAAAGAAGTGAGTTTGGATGAGAGACGCAGGGTTGCCGCATGAGTTAGCTCTACTTTACTCGAGATTTTCTCTATTCTCTCATCCTTACTCGAGATTTTCTCTGTTCTCATCCTCCAAAATGTCACATACTTGATGGGGTTGCGCATCTATAATTTAATTCTTGTTGAACCATTTTTGGGTAACAACAAAATCAAAGTTCATAATCCAACTATGAAACCAAAACCCAAATCTCCTCTAAGCTCGGACTCTAATCTTGAGATGAAGCCGACCTCCAACTTGATGGGTTGTTCATAAGGTGCAGAACATGTTTTAGAAAGACTATAGCTTAGATAAAGTTTGGTTTTGATGTGATTTTGTGATTGGAACCAGTTCCTAACTTGCCTGTCTTTTATGTTTCACTCATTTTTTCTTTCTTCCCACAGCTGTATCGTTTCCATGCACCATTGGATTATAAAATCATCATTGCATTTTGTTGTTGGCAATTAGTAATTAGCACATCGCAGTCGATCTCTTGTTTATTATGAATTGGTGCAATTTGCAAATGCATTTAATTGTGACATTAATATTTGCATTGCCGACTGCGCAGACTGTTGTAAAAAAGGAGACTTTGAAAAAACACAAAGGAAAGAGAAATTTTGTAAAATAAGCAAAAATAGACAAAATTACCCTTATTCATTTTTGGATTTCCTAAAGAATCATTTACATTTACATGTCTTTGATTTGGAAGTTGAGAGATTTTTCTGTCTTTTTCTAAAAAACTTTGGTTTTTTTCAAAAGTGATATTTTTTTTTTTTTTTTTTGCTAAAACCTAAATTTACTTCATGGAGTCAGAGTCTTCAAAATTGAGTTATTATATTTGACACTAATTGTTCATGCTTATTATTCCATTGGCGGGTCATGTCTTGTCAAGTATTGGTCAATCCTATCACACAATTTAAGACATAATCAGAAGGTGAAAAATGACATGACTAATTTCATAGAGTGGTCAAACGAGCACCAAAAATACAAAATAACGTTTTCCTTTTTTATAAACAGTAAAGAGTAGAAAGTCACATATGGCATATAAGTTGGAGTGAAATGAACGATCATTTTTTTACTGTTGAAAGTTTATGTAGCATTTTTAACATATTGGTCGGAAATGTTCTTATGCAGTTTATTATAAAACATTGAGTGTGGTGAATTGTGGAATTGAAGCCAACTTAAAGAAGTCAAGAACCAAGGTGAAGAGTGTGTTAATAATGGGGACTTTGCTTTTTCTTTCTTTTTAGGTGAAGATTTAACTCTAGACGACTATGAAGTTTTATGTTAAGCAATTATTATATCCTCATTGCGAAAAGGATAAAAGAAATAGATAACCGAGCTTAAACCCAAACATATAAGAAGTTGGGGCTAGCCCAGCATAGGAACAGAACACAACCGGAAGCCCAATACAGTTGAGCTTGGATTTAGCTTTAGGATGCTAAAAATTTATTTCAAATGGGTTTCTAAAACACTTGATATGCAATGATCAGACTCTCCCCTGGATTGAAGTGTATTTTGGAGGAATTTTCAAGGTACTCAGTTCGCAGCTTACCTATCTCTCCAAGTTCCTTTGCTGGTTTCCATTTCGAGTAAAAGCAAATAGTAGCTGATTTGGGCCACTCTGTTCGACTGAGCGTGACAATGGCTAGAGGACGACCCAGAAAGGTTTGGCCTTTTTTAATTTTCTCACACTTTCTCACTAGTCAAGCGCGCACCCTCTTCGTCCTACTACCCCATCATCACTTTTCTTTCCCAAGTTTATGTTTGTCTTTCCTAATTCCTTTTCGGATGGTTCAGTCCGACCTGCATTTGTTTGGCCATGCTCTCAGATTTTCTTCTTATGTTTTTTTTAACCTTTTTTAGAAAAGTCAAGTTTTTGTTCAGCTGATTTCTCACACGTTTTTTGTTTTATTTACTTCACTTCATATTTGCAGAGGGATTCCCGCATGGATGCAGCCGTTGATGCTATGACCCGTGAAATGGGTTTTGACGAGAGACTAGTTCGTGCCACAGTAAAAGAGCTACTGAAGGTGGTTTCATTGTTTTCTGAGAGTTTTGGGTTCTGGGTTTTGTTTGACGTATCAAAAGGTTTTGCTTTCAGGTTTATGGAGTGCGAGGATCTCCAGAGCAAGGATGGCCCTTTATCGAAGAGTTTTCTTATAAACTCCTAATTGAGCAGCTTCTTGAAAAACAACAAGATGGTGCTGAAAATAGGGTAAGTTGATTGCTTGTTATTGTTGTGTGCTAAAGTTGCTTCGTTTGTTGTACAATGTGCTGGGGGAAAATTGGGGCTTCTTGCTGCTTTGAGATTTATTCTTCCTACTCTCTTCGATTTGGCGTTCTTATTGGGTTTGTGGCTTCAGACAAAGACGTTATCTTAATCACATTAATTTGGTTGCCTGGTGAATATAACAATTTTAAATCTCACATTCGAGCAAGACCTGTACCTCTTACTATTTCTGAGCTTCGTACTCTACTTCTTGCTGAAGGAAGTGATCTGAATAGAGCTGCATCTGTCATGAACACACCACTCCTTACTGCTATGATGGCAAAGACTAAGTTTACCCCTGTTCATCAAACCCAAGGTTCTCCATATTCTCAGGATCAGAGTTATCAGCATCCGACTCCAGATCACAGTTATTCTAATAGTACTTCAGGTTATAATGGTTCGTCTTCTAATAGACAATGGAATTCCAGAGGTGGTTCTCAAGGAAACAGGTATTACAGAGGCTGGAATAACTTCAGAAACGGATATAATAAGAGTAGACATGGTAGCAGTTCATATGGTAATTCCACATACGGTTCAGGCCAATTTTTCTATCAACCTGGTTACCTGGTGGTCATTATGGTAATTCATGTGGTTCTGGTTTTCAACACCCTGGTTCTTTTTTGGCCCATCACAGTGTACCTCATAGTCAATATTATGTCCCTCCACATTCTGGCCCTAGAATTCTTGGTTCATCTACTATATGCCCTACTGCATCACCATGGCAGTCTCCTACTCAGTCCTTTCAATCTACTATAAGATTCATTTCACAGAAAAATCAAAAGCCTGAGTTTTCTATCCGTGTTTTATCTCTTCGTTTCTACTTGATGTTTTAGTGAGATTGCACTATTTTTATGCCTTTGAACAGCATCCCCGGTGTTATTTTGGTTTTCACCTTGACTTGTGTTGCTCTTAATTGTATAAAATTAGTCATAATACTGGTTTGAACTCTTTGAAGGATGCTGCTCCACAAGCCGATGCAGCTCCACCAGACGATGCTGTTCCACCAGACGATGCTGCTCCACTAGATGATGCAGCTCCATCAGATGATGCTGCTCCGTATGATGATGCTGCTTCGCATGTTGATGCTGCTTCGCATGTTGATGCTGCTTCGCATGTTGATGCTGCTCCGCATGATGATGCTGCTTCGCATGTTGATGCTGCTCCGCATGATGAGCATGATGATGCATCAGCAGCAGTAGGGCCCTCAAGCATTGTTATTCTACCTACCTTCTCAGGGGCTGTGGACAGCAAATTGCAGACTGAGGATGCTTGTGACTGTACATCACAGACTAATGGACTTATTCATGCATCACTGATTAAGATTACAGGTAAATGATTGTCTAATTATTCCTAAATATTTATGGATGTTACAGCTTCAGCCATGGGCAGTTTTCATTCATACTCTTATCATTTCAGTTCCACTCCTTTATGAATGTGCGCTTGTTTTGCAGGTGCCAAGGAGTGTCTCCCAGTAGATACTCTTGCACTGCGGAGGTGTAAACCTTGCTATGGCTGGGCTTTTAGCAATGATGGGGAAGGTCCTGTGGAACTACAATCGGGTCCATTGGCAGAGTCAGGTAAATTACTTATCAGGCCAGCTGAGAAGAGGAAGCGCAAGTCAGGGTGGGATGTGAGACCTGAAGATGTGCAAAGCTCTTTCGCTTTGATGTCGTAGTTATAATATGTATAAATAGGAGTCTCGTCTAGAAATCACATATTTTGGTGACACTGATACTAGATTATTCAAATATGGTGTTGTGGCAGTCATGGATATCATGCCGATATTCGATGCTAACCAGTGCAACTCTAGAGAAGAGAATGCACATTTTGGAAAGCCATTGGAACCCAAATTACATTCACAAGAAGATAGTGAAAGATTGTGGGTGCTTTTGTCAATCAGTGCTTATGTAAATGATCTGATTGGTGCTTTTTATGTTCTATATTTTGTCGTTGCACTTATTTTTCCATCTTAAAATTCAGACTTTCGTTTCATTTTGATTTACAAGAAGATCAAGGAAAAGAAGAGAAAAATTGTCACACTGCTTAAGAAGACAACTATTGAAACACTTCTGTGCTATGTTTCCTTCAAGTTTGATTAAAAACCTCACGACACTTTGACAGTGTGTGTGAGCAAACCCCCTTCCCCAATGTCGAGCATTAAAAAATAAATAAATCATATAATAAAGATAAAATTGATAAGGAGAAAAGGATTTTCCTTTGAAACTTCATTTTTTGGCGAAATCAAATAATTTATTTAGGGACTTTATTTATTATGCTCGAATGATCCTGATTCGTAATCCGAGTTTCAAATTTCAATAAATAAACAAAAAGAAATAAAAGATATCATTACGCGCGTATTTATCCCAACGAAACGGAAAACAGATATTTCCTCTGCGTTTGTATGCTTCTGTGAGGATAAGACCCCTTCGCCTCATCGACACTCCGAAGCTTCAAAGTTTCAAACGAAAGCTTCTCAGACTATAAACCCTCGTTATCTCAGTTTCAATGGCGCTAGGATTTCAACTGAATTAGAGCTTCTCGCTGACTATCTTTCAATTGAAATGAACTTGTCGGCAACTTTTCGCGGGAATTTCGTCCCCTTATCGCAGTGCAGCTCTTGCTGCGATCTTCGTATTCAACCTTATTTGGCTGCTTCGACGGGTTCTTGGCGAAAACGGCACCGTCGTAGAAGCAGTTTGAAGCTCTACCAGGTTTCGAGGTAAGGTTCTTTGTATGAGCTCATCAAATAATTATTTTGTTTTCTTCTTCTTATTTGGAATCTGATTATAGTGCGAAATTTAGAAATTTGAGGAAGCAAGAGGTTGTTTGTAGATTGAGTGAGACGCAGACCGAACCAGATAGCAATAATGATGAGGTGCAATTTCAATTTTATTATTGTAAGTGTTGATTTCTCAGCATTAGTATGTTTCTCATTCATCTTGATATTGTAGGAAAAAGAAGTAAATGAAAATGAAGGTGGAGATTCTGAGGAACCCCATCTTGATTCTCAGCCAATAGTTGTAGACCAAATAAACAATGATGCTGAAACTAAGGCTGAATTTGGTGTGCAGGTACTGTCTGTCATTGAAAAACTCATCTTCCCTTTACATCTTGGAGTTTCTAGATTCACTTCTTAATCATAATTACTTATTGACTCCCATTCACTGGTAATACATGGAAATATTGACCTTTGGTGGTCCTGCATGAAATCCTGTCATAAAATTGTCCTTCAGATATCGTTCTCCCAGCAGAAGAGGCCACCGGCCTGAGAGTTGTTCTCTCATAAATTATTCAATCTTTCTCTACAACAGACATTGACGATAAATAATTTATTTTGATGAGCAGGGTATTCAAATTAGCTCTGTTGATACTTAATGCGCTAAGGTTGTGTTTGAAACAGGATGTTGATAATAATGTAGAAGTTTCTAGTGGATCACCTCTGCCAGGTGTGAAGGTGATTATGAAGTTCTTTAATTTTCCTATATGAGAAGATACATCTTCCTTTCATCTCTTCTTTTAACATCTTCTTCTTAATAATTTCTTAAACAGCCACAGCAGGGTGAATCAATCCGGATTCCAAAGGAAACACTTGATATTCTTAAGAACCAAGTTTTTGGCTTTGATACTTTTTTTGTGACAGCCCAGGATCCATATGAGGTAAGTTGACTGGTTAAATTTCATTTTACCTTTTTATGTCTATATCATTACTGGAAAGAAGTGAAAAAGAAAACTTGGATAATGACAATATGGATGGGTGGTAGGAACTTTTACATGCTTATCTGTGGACTTAAACTATCCTACAGAAAGGATTGAAAAAACGCTGATAATATAGCAAGTGTTTGAAATCTTAAGATATGCTTTCTAGCCCGTGTGGTTGTACATCTCCGATTGTTGTGTTACTTCTGCCAGGCTGGAGTATTATTTAAAGGAAACCTGCGAGGAGTGGCTGCCAAAAGTTACGAAAAGATATCAAAGAGAATGCAGGTATATTTCTGTACTTCTTTAGTTTCACTGTTCAAATTTATGATCGATTCCTGATTAACATCTGCACAATCTGTTTTCAGGATAAGTTTGGGGATGAATATAAGCTTTTCCTTCTAGTCAATCCTGAGGATGATCAACCAGTGGCAGTTGTAGTTCCACAAAGGACATTACAGCCAGAGTCAACTGGTGATTATTTAGCTACTGCCCTGTTACGGGATTTCCATGGAAATTGTAGGCAGAAATCATTTTCTAAAGCTTACAATTTGTTACGATGATGGATTTGGTGTCAATCTTGCAGCGGTCCCAGAATGGTTTGCAGCTGGTGCTTTTGGATTGGTCACATTGTTCACTCTACTTCTTCGAAATGTTCCTGAATTGCAATCCAATTTACTGTATGCAATTTTTTTTTCCTCGTATCCTCATTATGCTAAGTAAATATAAATTATTATTTTTCTATGATATTTTATCCTCACATTGTTATCTTCTTATTTATCTATACCCTTAGATATATATACTTTTGAATATAGAGCACGCTCATGATCTGAAATACTTTAGGAGATTTTTCTCTCTGCTAATTTGTTTGAAACAGACGTCTGCATGATGTTATTTGCCATTTTATATGTGATTACTTTACTTTGAGCCAACTTTTCTTGTGCAAGGACAAGTAATTCAGCAGTTATGCCCCCCTTTTCCCTTGTCCTCTTCCACAAGCCTCCTCCATCTCACTTTTGTCCTTGTTGATAAAGTTTACTTAAGA